CCCCCTTCTCTCTCTCTTCCTCTCCCTCTCTCTCTCTCCCTCCCCTCTTTCTCTCTCCCTCCCTCTCTCTCTCTCTTCCTCTCTCTCTCCCTCTCTCTCTCTCCCTCTCTCTCTCCTACACTCTCTCTTTCTCTGTCCAACTATTTTTCTTTCCCTTTCTTCTCTTTGCATGTCTTCAACTTTCTATGTACATGTACATCAGTACAAATGTCTCCACCTTTCTCTCTATAGATACCATTCAATACACTTATTGATACAATTGATGGTGGTCTGGATACAGATACCCCGCCAGTTGTCTCAGTCCTTCCTGGACTCTCCAAAAGCAGCTATCTCTTCTCAAACAATCAAATGGAAAATATAGTGAGTATAGTGTGTATAGAAAGAGAGAGAGTGGGGAAAAGAAAAAGGTTAGAGAGACGTGTTCAATTCATGTTCATGTCATGTTTTTCCCATTTGTTTTCCCTGTAATAAAAACGATCCAATACACTTATGGAAACTGAAATTATTAATATACTCAATTAATAATAATGATTACTATCAATATTGTTGACAGTTGTACATGTATGTGTATGCGTATAAATTTCATCCTGATCACCATTATACAACCATACACCTCATACATGCACAGTTTGGTTTAAAGCTGTATTTGTTTGTATAGGTCACTGTATTATGTAAAGGTGATAAATAAATTACTATGTATGTACATTGTGTATATTGTAGTTTAGTGTTACTGTTTGTAGTCAAAATATCAAAGGTCACCCATAGCCATAAATTTACATGTACTGCATTGTTGTGGGTGGTTAGTTTTGACTGTAATAGCTTCATGAGCAGATGGAATGGCGCCAATGCATCTTTCAGTCGGCAGAAAGTGTTATCATTCATAATAATTATAACAAATGCATGCTCTTATGTTGTGTATAAATTTTGAGGCTATTCCAATTAGCTGCTACTAGATTTTTAAATAAATTTTAAGGTTACTCCAAAATCGGGTAAAAGTCCCTGTACTATAATAGTACATGGTCTCGGGCCAAATTTTGCTTAAAATGAAAAGTAGAGAATTCCTCATTTTTATAATTTTTTCTTATGCATTTACATGTTTTTATATTGTGTAGAAAGTTTGAGTTGATTCCAATTAAAATTAATTTTTTTACGAATTTTTAAAGTTGCTCCAAAATCGGGTAAAAGTCCCTGTACTATAGTACATGGTCTTGGGCCAAATTTTGCCAAAAAGGAAAAGTAGAGAATTCCTCATTTTTATAATTTTTTTTTTGATGCATTTACATGTTTTTATAATGTGTAGAAAGTTTGAGCTGATTCCAATCAAAATTAATTTTTTTACAAATTTTTAAAATTGCTCTAAAATCGGGCAAAAGTCCCTGTACTATACACGGTCTCGGGCCAAATTTTGCTAGAAATTAAAAATAGAGATTGCCTCATTTTAATATTTTTTTCTGACGCATTTACATGTTTTTATGTTGTGTAGAAAGTTTGAGCTAATTCCAATCAAAATTAATTTTTTACGAATTTTTAAAGTTGCTCCAAAATTGGGTAAAAGTCCCTGTACTATAGTACACAGTCTCCGGCCAAATTTTGCCAAAAATGAAGAGTAGAGAATTTCTTATTTTTATAATTTTTTTCTGATGCATTTACATGTTTTTATATTGTGTAGAAAGTTTGAGTTGATTAATTCCAATCAAAATTAATTTTTTACGAATTTTTAAAGTTACTCCAAAATTGGGTAAATGTACTTGTACTATAGTACACAGTCTCGGGCCAAATTTTACCAAAAATTAAAAGTAGAGAAGTCTTCATTAAAAAAATTTTTTTTGATGCATATACGTACATGTACGTGTCTTATTTTGTGTAAAAAGTTTGAGCTGATTTTGATCAAAATTGAATTTTTTATGATTTTTGAATTTGCTCCAAAATTTATTTGTAAACCAAAAAAAATTAATTAAACAATGAAATTTTGAGGTCGCAAAATAAACCAGCTATACTGTAGTTGTAAAATGACAAATATAAAACTAGAATTAAGTTTATTTTGATTAATTGATTTATTATTATCATCATATTTATTATTATTATTACTATTATAAAGAAAAACACAATGGGATGGATATAAAAGGATAGCCCATAAGGAAACAAAAGAGACACAAAAGACAAACAGAGCAGAAGGCTATAACTAAAATAAAATACATGTAAAATAAAACAAAAACAATAACAATTAATAGTTACAACAATATGCCATCCACTTGGGGAGGCAAGATGGAAGTGCAACCCAACCACATTTGAGCGTTGGATCGCCATAAAGTCACAGACAACCTCTGAAAGAGATGGTTGATATTAATATTATTATTATTATTATTATTATTATTTATTTATTTATTTGTTTGTTTCGTTATTCAATTTGCATTTGAGAGAAAACTTTATTAAAATATTGTTATTAAAAATGTAAAAAAACTATTACTATTATTATTATTATTATTATTATTATTATTATTAATTATGTTATTATTATTATTTTAGGTTGGGACAGTGTATGATGCTTGTAACTCCTTCATGTTACTAACTGAGGTATCAGAAGGACAGTTAGAGGCCAGCAGAGCAATATCAGTGATACCTGATGCCATCATTAGAAAAGACAAGAGAAACCCGTACAGCTTCTCACTCAATAACCTTCACATGTGTGGTACTGGTAATCTCACTGTAGTGCCACCATTATCACCATCAAAGGAAGAGACTACACCAGGTGGGTACATTAAACTTTCTACATGTACAGTGTAGCATAAAGGCCTTCATACACGAGGCAGCCTAGCAACCAAGGAACATTTTGCCAAAAATAGAGCATCTTTCTATTCTTGGCAACATGTTGCTTACAAGATCAAAGTAACCACAAATGTTGCTAGCACCAATTTGGCTCGTGTATGAAGGCCTTAAGGTATCAGTAAATATTGTATTGTATTTGTAATTGCTGGTCCTTGAATGTACAGCGTATATTTGTAATTTCTATTTATGTCTATTGTTATTACAACTGTTAAAACGTTATTTTTGCCAATCTTTGTTTATTTCAATAAATAAATAAATAAATTTACAGAAGTGGCCAGAGATACATACATGTACAAGTACTGTACCAAGTTTCTAACTTGTCTCATCATTGAACTACGTGTACATGTACGTACATTTGTACTTGTGTATAATTAGAAAATTGTTACCATGTACATGCATGTACCATTACATTATCTTCTGCAGGTAAGAGCCCAAGATTGAAGCACAAGCAAAGATCAAAGTCAGTTTGGGGAGGAGGGGCACGCCCACCAAGTGTTGACGCTAAATCCCAAACCATGAATTACCTGTCTCGCTCTAGTGCCCTCCCTCAGTCTCGCTCTAATCCTCTTGATATCACGAGGGTCTCTCCCAGCAGTGGGGGGCTGGAGTCACCATTCTCTATGCTGCCTCAGGAGGTGTTGATTGCGTCTGTTTGGAACCAGGGACACTCCCCGTCTCGTGCTAGCTGGAATATACAACTGATGACAGAGGAAGAGGTGAGAGAGAGAGGAGGGAGAGAGAGACAGAGAGTGAAAGACAGAGAGTGAAAGACAGAGAGAGAGGAGGGGGGAGAGAGAGAAGAGGAGGAGAAATACATGTACATGGTACATATACATGTGTGTAAAAAGAAAAAAGGGCTAAATATAATTCTGTAAAAGTTGTGCATGCATGTACATGTACATGTATACATGAAATTAATGCATAAAAACGATGTAGAGTACATGCACATGTACATGTACAGTAAATGAGGAACAGTACAGTGTAAAAAAAGGAACAGTGTAAAAAAGGAGCAAGGGCTAAATGTAATGCTCTACAAGTTGTACATGCGTGTAGTTTGTGAGATTGGGCCAATTAAAGGTAATATTAATTTTATTAAATTCTCATATAAGAAAGTTCTCATTTTTATGATGCAATTCAGCAGGACCTGTAACATCATTAACATGTAGTAGTTGATGCATTAAATGTCTTTAATAATTTATGTTTACTTTGTGTCTATTTTAGTTTATTCGTGAGCGATCCTCCCTTGGGGCAGTCCCTGTTGACCCCTCCCTCTCATTAATGGCCACTCCTCCTCCCATCCCTCAATCCCCCACTAGCCTCAAGACTCTAACTAACTCAACGGAAGAGAAACTAAAGCTCTCAGTGTCAGTAGGATCAAGGAACAGAGAGGAGGAGGAAGAAGAGGATGAGAAAGTGTCTTCTACTTGTTTATTACCGACAGTAACTAAAAACGAGGAGCTTGTGGAAAAGGAAAGTTTTATAGAAAAGGAAGCATATATTGAAAATGAAATTTTTGTCAAGAAAGACGAGAAGGAACAGTTACAAGATCACGAAGATGACATGAAGTTCATGGAAGAATCTTCTCGGGAGCATTTGGACAGAGATGGTGGTGGTAGGTGGAGCTCGGAAGAGGGCGTGGCCGAAGACAAGAGGAGTGTGAGATCCTGGAGCCCCGAGACTTACAATGGTAGCATCACTACTGAAGACGATGAGGAAACAAATGTTCAGAAGACTGATGGAGACGACGACCTTAAATTTAACTTTGCGAAGAGCTGTGAGCCGTTTATTAACATTGAATTAGACCAAGGCCCATCACTCTCTGCATCAGTTCCATCAGTACCAACAGCAATTACCCCTCCAGTTAAAAAAGGCCTCAAGTCGTGGCTAGGGAAGAAGATATCTAGAAAGAAGAGACGAGACGAGTTGGGGCTGGAGCTTGAGTCTCCGCCCAGGGTACGTCAGGGCTCTTATACCCAGAGAACCAAACACATAACGGATAAATACGTCAAGATCAGCAAAGAGAAGAGAGCGTCACAGCCTGCCCCACCTGCCCCAACCACGCCCGATCAACCAGTCAATCACATCTTGCACGATCACATACCAAAGACTGTCGAGGATTTCATACCGTCGACCCTTTACCAGCAGCTCAAGTACAAGCTAACGATACTGCTGCAGCAGATTCACCTACCCGAGTTTGATACTCGTGGGCTTGAAGAGGAGGAGAGAGAGGTGGACGAGAGAGGAAGGTGTAAAGAGGAACTCCTCCAGATATTGAAGGTTGTTAGACACTCGGTACTATGGAGAGACGACTATTCGGAGACCGGCGTACTGGATGAGGTCATTGGTCAACTGGAGTACCTGGATAACACCTGGTGAGTTACATGTATACGTGTACATGCATGTACATGTACATGTATGCTCAAATATATCGTAATTGTGTTAAAAAAATTAAAAACACTGTGTTGTACCTATGTATTTTTGCAGCTTGTCAATAAACTACACTTAAAACTAAAGAGGCTCACTTGTACAGTGTAGTGCATTAATAAATTTTATTTCACATCTACTGCCTTTAATGATAATTATTGCAATTTTTATTATTTTTTCCTTTTCCTAACAGTGTTCTGGTCCTGTTGCAAGGAGTAAGAGAGAATCACGAGGCTCATTTGGAGTATCTGAAGTATCTAATGTCACTGCAGCAGCAGTGCTATGACGCTTCACTACAAGTTAACTCAGTACAGACTGTGATTGACAGGTAAAGGGAAGAGAAGAGAGAGTGAAAATATAAGAGAGAGAGAGAAGAGAGAGAGAGGGAGGGAGGGAGGGAGGGAGGGAGGGAGGAATAAAGAGTGAGAGAGTATGAACTACATGTACAAATTACAATATGTGGTTCATTGTATTTATTGGTACATGTACATTTAAGGGTAATTTTCAGAAATTGGCATATTTTTTAAATAGCCATAACTTGAAAAATTGAGCTTGGAATCAGCTCAAACTTTCTATGCAGCATAAGTACATCAATATGTATCAGAAAATGTAATAAAAATTGGGGGTCATTTCTTAGCCATTTTTTGGAAAAAAAAGCATGGGCTATAGTACAGGGTAATTTTCAGAAATTGGCATGTTTTTTAAAATGGCTATAACTTGAAAAATTGAGCTCGGAATCAGCTCAAATTTTCTACACAGCATAAGGACATTAATATGTATCAGAAAATGTAATAAAAATTGGGGGTCATTTTTTAGCCATTTTTTGGAAAAAAGCATGGGCTATAGTACAGGGCAATTTTCAAAAAAGGAAATTGTGTTTAATGTACTGACAATACATGTTTGTACATGTACATGTATTTTGGTGGTATACATGTACATGTTTGTGCATGCATGTACATGTAACAAATTGGGAAATGAATGAAAATGGAGATGTTGTCTGAGCCAATTTGTGGGCAAGCCAGCATTATAGCCTTATAAAATCAGAATTAACATTACAAACATGTCATTGACAGTATATAAGAATAAAAGTTATGTGAGAGGGAGGGAGAGAGAGAGCAGTCATTGTTACACCTTCAATAATTCATACACACTTGTTATCACTTGATTATACCTGCTTATCGCCTGATAGTCTCACCCAATTATTGAGCTATTGACACTTGTAACATGACACAAGTAAAGGAATGTATCACTAATAAGCTTTGGAGGTGTATGTATTTTACATGTACATTTATGTACATATCACGTAGCACTTTAATTTGACGGAGTTTTATTTTGGCGATTGGCAGTTTGAAAACAGAATTGCCATTATTAAAATCGCCAATCATTAATGCACGTGTACCCAAAAATTGCGAAATTAAAAACTGCAAGTTATAATTTTATAACAAATTGCCAAAATAAATTGTTGCCAAATAAAGTGCTATATGGTAGTTTAATCTTTATTATTATTATTATTATTATTTATATTTATGTATTTTACATGTACATCTATGTACATATCATATAGCACTTTAATTTGACGGAGTTTAATTTTGGCGACTGGCAGTTTGAAAACGAAATCGCCAATATTAAAATCTCCAATCATTAATGTGCATGCTCAGTAATGCACGTGTACACAAGAATTGCCAAATTAAAAACCGCCAATTACAATTTTACAGCAAAATCACCAAAAAATAAACTGCTGCCAAAATAAAGCACTATTGTGGTAGTTTAATTTATTATTATTATTATTATCATTGTTTAGGACTAGACAGTTGCAGTTGGAGTCATTTCTTAATTTCTCAATGTCGACGTTCTGTGAGGAGAGATCAGCCAAATTAGGACAAGTGAAAAAAGACTTGGAAAACTGCAGCACCTCAGATGAGAAATGTGCTCTAGTACAAGACCTCAGGGAAGCATTCAAGATATCACTAGAGAGAGACGTGAATTGGACAGGTAATCAATACCATATAGCTGGAAAGTTTCGTGGCCAGAAACTTTCGTGGTTTTTATGGTTTGGAATGACACCATGAAATTAAAAACCACGAAATATTTGCAGGTTAATGAGAGGCGGGGGTGTTTCACTGATGATTCATGGAAATAAAAACCACGAATAGCCTGGGAGCCACCAAACCACAAAAGTTTTTTGCCATGAAACTTTCTGGCTATAATAGTATTAAGGCTGGTTTACAATATTACCCTAGTCCTGATGTTACGTTGATGCTAGAATAGAATCTGGTTCTATTCTAGCAGAAAGCATGCATCAAAAGGTCAAATCGCCCACGCTTTTGATTAAAAATTGACGGTAAACTGACCTAGCCTCATATTGTAAACTATAGTCTTTGTACTAAATTTGTAATGTTTTTGTAGTGTGTGGGAGTTATGTAGAGTAATGAATAAAGTATTTGGGACTAATTTTTATTTGTGTTTGTAATAAGTGGAATGTGCCACTACGTAATATTATGCAATATACACTGTACAATGTACTTATGTTATTTACGTTACATGTACATGTATGCACGTGTACATGTACATGTACATGCATAATACGTCCAGTGTATTCCACTGTATTGTCTTATTATTTATGCGCATGTACATGTACATACATGTACATGTACATACATGTACATGCGCATAAATCCGTTTAACTAATGGTCACCAATTACTGAAACATCTACTTAATGAATGACTGTGAAATGGTAGTGTGAATTATGCTAAATGATAATAATATTTTAGAGTTTCATTTTAGTGGGCCAACACCACTTTAATACCCTTTTAATGTACATGCACACACAGAGTCTTATGTGGAGATTATTAAGTTTTGTTGATACATGATTCATTAATTTCATAAATCAATTAGAGCTGAACGTGACAACCTAACAAATCAAATGCTTGCCCCATTAACCTCTAACCATTTCAATATCCTCATTTATTGTCTTGTGTACGTATAGTTTTGTCTGATGGGGATGAGTTGGATCTGGTTCACAGGATGTGCGATGACCATATATTCACTCACTTATTCAAGTACATCTTCCATCCTAACGGGGAGTCTGATAAACAGAGAGATGAGTAAGTACAGCACATATGTACATGTATATTTAATTGCTGTTCTGTATAGTGGGAAATTTCGGAGGGAATTAAATTTGGCGAATTTGGCATTTTTAATAGCCATAATAAAATCCGCCATTTTGAGCCTTTATACGCATGCTCAATGGCATGTGGCCACTAATTTGCCAAATTAAATTTTGCCAATCACTAAAATTTAGCGATTCGCCAAATTTAACTCCCTCCAAAATTTCCCACTATACGGTATACAGTAGTACATCATAATGAGTAGCTAGTAAATGGGTTACTGTTAGTGTGAACTTATGCTGGTTTTATAAAGAATTTTTAACATAATATAATTAATTCATATACTGTAAATTGCCACCACTAATTGTAAATTTTTAACAAAATGCCAAATATGGTTCCTGTCATGTTTCCTACTGTACATACATTTACATGAATGTTTCCAATGTTGTTGTTATTGTTGTTGTTCTTGTTGCATTGTTGTATATTAGTCACGTTTATTCAATAATTAATGATTATTATTGAGTGATTGAATGATTAATTGAGTTCAGAATGCAGAGGAAGGAAAGTGCCTCTGTTAAAGGAAGGAAAGATCAGCAATGTTTCACTTCTTTTTTATTTCCTCTTTCTCTTTCTCTCTCTCTCTCTTTCTCTCTCCCTCTCCATCCTTCTCCCTCTCTCTCTCTCCCTTCCTCCCTCCCTCGCTCTCTCTCCCTCCCTCCCTCCCTCCCTCCCTCTCTCTCCCTCCCTCCCTCTCTCTCTCTCCCTCCCTCTCTCTCTCCCTCCTTCCCTCTCTCTCCCTCCCTCTCTCCCTCCCTCTCTCTCTCCCTCCCTCCCTCTATCTCTCTCTCTTTCAGAGTATTTTATAAGCACATTGAGTCGATATCAGAGACGATTACACCTCAGCATCGTTTATTGAAGATACCCTCCGTAAGTACATGTATCTTGTAAAGGAGTGTCAATTCAGATCGTAGAATCAGGGAACTAATAATTATTGCTATAGGCTAAGGGCATATGGTATAGAGATGGTATATAAACACATGTTTTTAGGTAGTAGTATGTACGTTTACGACTACAATTTACATGTATGTAGCTTACTACATGTACATGTACACACAAACATGTAAAAGTTGGACGTGTACATTTGTATTATAGGAATTTCTCATCTTATTATTTTGTTGCATGTAGGTGTACTATTCTTCTTGTCCATGGCAGCCAGTACAAGATATTCTATTGAATATGTCAATATATAAAGTAATTGATAGTTAAAAGAATATAATTGTTGTATGTACATGTACATGTAATCTGATACGAATTCTCTCTCTCTCCCCTCCCTCTCTCCCCATCTCTCATCTCTGTCTCTCCCTCTTTCTCCTTCTCTTCCTTTCACTCTCACCTTTCCTCTCATTTCTCTCTCTCTCTCCCCCTTCCTCCCTTTCTCCCTCCCTCCCTCCCTCCCTCCCTCTCTCTCTCTCCCACTCTCTCTCTCTCTCTCTCTCTCTCTCTCTCTCTCTCTCTCTCTCCCTCCCCAGTCTCCTCATGCTAAGCTCCATTGTATTACCAAAGCCTGTAAGCTCCTCATTCGGCTGCTCCAGTTGGCTCGGTGTGGTGACCCTCCAGGGGCTGATGACACTTTCCCTGTTCTTGTGTACATACTAATAAAAGCTAATCCTACCAGCCTCCTATCCACAGAGCAATACATTAAGGTTTTCTACGAGGACTCGTTGAGCGGAGAGACTGCTTACTGGTGGACCCAGTTCTGCAGTGCCATCGGGTTTTTAAGAACTCCAGAATTCACTCAACAATAAATAAATTTTTTTATTTTTAATTACATAATTATTATTATATACCTAAAACTGCTTAAATTTTAAACCACAGCCTTCGGCAGTATGACACCTTTCATTATTATTGTTATATTATTATTCGGAATTATTTCTGCTGGATTTTATTCGTCACAAAAATAATTAAAATTATTATTATCATTAAACATAATATACATGCAATAATAATAATAATAATAATAATAATAATAATAGCTATTATACATAAAATTAATAATAATTATTGATCATTATTAAATTATTATTGTTATCATTATAATTATTATAATTAATGAGTGTTGAAAGCCACCAATGGGCACATTAATGTTATAATGGATTCTGAAGTCAAATTTATTATGGCTGGAAATCTGAGTATACGAGAAAATGGTTAAGTGGAGGAGGTAAAACCTGTGTAAGAGAGAAAGAGAGAGACAAAGAGAAAGAGGAGGGGAGGGGAGGGAATAAGTGTTGTCATGTCACAGTAGTGCAGCTTTGAATTCCGGCAATTTGACAAATCTACTATAGCTATCCCTTTGCATGAGAATGTAAATAGTGTGACAGGCTCGGTCAAATGTAGCTTCAGTGACTGAGGACATGTTGGACACTATCTCATCTCTAACTGTATGATCTATGTTAACCTGTGTGGAGAGAAAGAGAGAGGGGGAGGGAGGGATGGAGAGAGAGGGGGGAAGAGAGAGGGAGGGAGAGAGAGAGGGGGAGGGAGGGAGGGAGAGAGAGAGGGGAGGGGAGAGAGAGAGAGGAGGGAGAGATAGGGAGAGAGAAAGTGTGTAATAAATGTAAAGGGAAAGAGGGAGAATGACATAATATCAATAACATTGATTCCCCTTAAGAGGGAAGTATACTGTCTATAAACTACCATAAATGATAAGTGCTAATGACAACAGTTCAAGTATTTCATAAGCAAAAATTCATTATTAAGAGAGGGAGAGGGAAAGGCAGAAATTTGGGAATAAAAGCTACAGTGATGCTTTGTTGATCTAGCCCCTGCTACATAAGCCTCAGGCAAACAACATTATAGCAGTTGTGAAGAGTGGCTGTAAACATTAGTACAATAAAAACCAATTCTTTTAACCAACAGTCAGTTACACCTTGTAAGGAAACTATAGCACTCTGTTACAAAGTATGACGTATTAAGGAAGGAAGGGGATCAGGAAAATAAAATAGAAAACAGCTGGTGTCAAAATAATGTAATGATAATGTTGGATAATGTTTCAATGAGAAGTTTGATACAGTCCAAACACAAGATGATGATAAGAGGGTGCATTAATAAATACTGTACACCTAATAATACAATAATAATTAATTCACGTGCATGTAAGTACATGTAAGCGCAATGTACGTGTACATGAAAATAATATCCGATTAAAAAGAGCAGAAATTATTATAAATGTACTAAAATTCCTTTGACTTTAAGTGTATCTATTCCGGTATAAATTACATAAAAACAAAGAGTGATATACTAACAGAGTATAAGTAAGATGATGTCAGAACATATGATCAGGTGTTTTGTATTATCTTTTGACCATTCACAGCCAAAGGCCGTGTTTACCCTCTACAGAAAACAAACCCTGGCCCTTTCCTCTGTCACTCAGACATTAATAAACATGAACATTAGACTTTATTAAATCATTAACACAGCTGGACAGACATAATAAAAGCAAGACAATTTGGTAGAAAATTAAATCATTATTTTACAATCAAAATACATTCCTATTGACCAATGTGTAAAAAATACAACTAAAATTCTATTTTCAACGGTAGATGTACATGTACATGAATATTGCACTCATAATAAAGACCCTAATTGTATTTCACAGAATGAATCAGTCAACACTGAAGAAGCTTTGAAGTTTATGGTATACAAGTGTAATAAACAGAGAAAAAAAATTGACCCGAAATAGTGATAATTGGGACTATCGATTAGCACGAAGATCAAAAGGCGACATTATGGATCTTATTATGTAAATGTAACACCTAGACATACGTGAATGAATGATGGGATACGTAAAAGTTATGGCATTTTTGTAGTACTCCTGACTTGGAGTGCACAATTCTTAAAATGATTGAATCGTGCGAGTAATGGACACTTACATTCATTACTATGCTATAGCTGCTAGGAAAGGAATATTTGAAAGAGGGGGAGAGACAGACAGACAGGTTGAAAAGGAAGTACTGGCATATCAGGATAATAGAACACATGATGTAAGACAAAAGTAAGAAAACTGAACACTTAGAAAGATGAAATTGAAATGGTTTCAGGCACCATAACTACACACTTAAGCACATCCTTCATACCTCACCCCTTCTACAAACTTTAACCTTCTACAAACTTTAACTCTTTCCCAAGAAATATACACACACATGCACGTTCATCCTTTCTCTGACATACCAGGTTAGGTGCATTATGAGCTATGTATTCAGCAAATATCCTCTCTGCTTCGCTCTGGAGCTTTTCCTTTGGAGCGAACTTGAATTTCTGACAGTCCTTCCAGAAGAGGATGTTCTCATCGCTACATTCCTTTTGGAGGAATCTCTCAAAAAGCTGGATACCAACTATTAGTGTGTGGTTCAGTTGTGTGTGCATAAAATAATTGATTTTCAAGGTATTATTGTGACTATCTTATCATTACTTGGATCACTGAGTAGATTGTCAAAGGAGGCTCCCCACTGCTGAACCTTGGCTTTTGAGACCCTAAGGAAGAGAAAAGGAGTTAGCAAGAGATGATCATTGCTTCAAAGAAAGATGAATGGTCAATAAAAATGAGATAAGGATGTTTACTTGGATAATGATAGCTCTTCTTTACTCTTCTTCTTGGCACGAGAAGACCCTGCCTCACCCCTGTTGGTTAACCTAGGCAAAAAAGGGAATCTCTTTTGAGCATCTTCTACAGGCGAGGCAGCCATTGTCCCATAGAGTGGTAAAACCCCAGTGCTAGAGCTAGTGGAGGCTGGAGTGATGAGGCTAGAGCGAGTGGCGACTGGAGATGAGGGTGTCAAATAGCGACGCGGGGATACTTTCGGGACGCTTGGCTCTAAAGCAGACGCGTCTCCTCGACTTCCACTGATACCGAATAAGCCCAATCCACTGAAACTGTGGCTCCTACCCTTTTTCTTCTTCTTTAATGGAGAACTGGACGAGGAGGAGTCTCGCCTCCCCGATCCGCCACCTCCCGCCGAAGACTTGAGCATAATAAAGCGCGGGACGAGTAGGGCTTCCACAAAAATAACTGACAAGAATAAATCCAACACTTAGACTTTGCTTATACAAGTTTCTTCTTCTCCTAACCTCTAAGCCTACCTCTCTCTTTCTCCTCTCTAGACTAACTCTAGTTATTCTTAGTTAGGTATTTTCACCTTCTACACCTACAAGAGTCACACAAGCTGAGAAATAGTAATGCTATGGTAATTGTGATTGTAAAATAGCTGTCGAATGACAAATTGCTGATCAAATACCGGAACAATGGCGCGATTATCACTCGATGAGTAAGGTGTGGAGTTTATCAAAATTTAAGCAGCAGACCGTTTAATATTTCTAATAATAATCTAGACTCGATAAAAATGATGATTTTAAATTTGAAACTAGACAAAGCTTAGAAACAACATTGAGAATACTGTAAATAAGCATAGGACTATAATACAGCATACAATGTACATAACATGCACTCAATACTAATACAGTACATACTGATTATACAGCTGTACATGATTGTGTCCATGTCCATGTACATGTACATATTATGACCTCTGTACCCATCCTTATTTCCAGGGATGTCATAATGTCATATTTTAACTATAGGATTGACCCCAATTTTCAAAAATGACAGTAATTCCTCCAAAGTATGCTACACCAAATTGTATAGCATTATCAAATCAAAATAAAATATTTCGACATTATCCATTATGCATGTACATGTACACGAATCATGTACATATATAATGTACATGTACTTACCCAATAAAAGATATGCTGTCTATTGCTACCGGCTGACTTAGTGATTCCCCCCTCCTCCTCATCTTCTTCTTCTCAACAGCTCTCTCTCTGTCACTGGTCACTTCTTGAGATAAATTGTATGAGTCAGTAGACCATCTCCGCCCAAAAGCAAACCTCGATCTCCTTCCCTTTGGCGACATACTCTCTTTCCGTCCCAGCTTGACAGGTTTTGTAGTCCTCTCTTGGGTACTTGGTACCTCTTTCTTTTCGGTTTTAGCGACAAATTTCGACGGGAGGACATCGAAAAGACTCCCGGCTAGCGGAGACTGAACAGGCCGTCCTGTTGTCACAGACATATTTGAGTTGAGTGTTCTTATAGGTGAGTCCTCAGATTGTCTTGAAGAGGGTAGCACCCTAAAAGGGCTCCTCCTCTCGTTAAATAGCTCATTCTTTAGTTCCCTTTGTCTTATCGTGTCCTTGGCCTACAAAAAAATGAAAAGAATTTCAACTATGCACAAAAGCACTCCTCCCCAGGGTTGGGTTGGACTACAACTTTATTTGTTTTAGGAGCATGCGGGGAAGGCATTCCACTCCCCTCCTATGAAGGGCACTCCTACACCAGTTGTTTGTATATCACAAACTGGTCATGCATTTTATGATTTTAATGACTATTAGGAAAGGAGGGGGTTGGCGTATCATAATCACTGTTATACTAAACTATAATATATTTATAATATCATTAATACTCAGTAATATCATACAATAGTATTGTGTAGTGCTAATGTTATTGTATTGTTTCCTATAGTGTTTATGTACACTCTCTGATAAACTACACAACACTATTGCTCCATGAACACTAATCACTGCCTTGATAGCATTAAAATAATAATAATTATCAATAAATAACATTTTATGCATACATTTTACACAGAAAGAGATTATACATATATTAGAGAGAGAGAGATGAGTGAGGAAGTTTATGAGAGAGAAAATTTTCTAATTATTATTATGTATAATAAAAGTCATTATTATTATCATTATTATCATTATTATGATTGATGCTGAATATTGAAGATACATATGGTGCATGTGTAATGTGGTCAGCTCCTTCTTAAAGGTGATCTACCTTTGGGTTTCCTGTCGGCTTTGAATTGACTCGTATACTTCCCCCAACCCTCTCCCTCAGCTTCTGCATCCACTGGTTCTTAGTTTGGAGGGAACTGGCCCTTAGGAGCCTGGAGTAAGACTGAGAGAGAGAGAGAGGGAGGGAGAGGGAGAGAGAGAGAGGGGGGGAGGAGGAGAAAGGGAGAGAGAGGGAGGGAGAGAGAGAGGGAGGGAGAGAGATATATATTTAAGTATCATAAGTACATGTATGTATTACAATCCCCAACTCATTAGCCCAAGAGGAGAGAGAAGGAGGAAGGTGGGAAAATATCTTATAGTGCATACATAGAGTATCTACAAGCTGTTATGTCCAAACAATGTCCGAAGTGGGTACCGTCACCTGTACTTCAATCTACACTTAAGATAACGATTAACGAAACACAAATCAAAATAGTGCGAAGAGGTGGTCTACAGCTGACGCTGGCTATGCCGAAGTGTTGGAAGGTAAACAAGAGGTTTACATAGGAGCGCCTAGCAGAGGCCTTCGCTTCGCACCACTAAACACTTTCCCTATCACATTAGCTGATCTTGTTGCAACGTCATGCTTGAATGAGTGTTGATGAGATAATTCAAAACTTAAGTACAGAGTACATTTGTACATGAACAAATAATTGTAATAATTGCACAGATAATTGTACTTATACATGTGCATGTACATCTATAATGTACACCATCTATTCTTCTATTTCTTTCCTCTTTCACATCTCCTCCTCCTCCTCCATTTAGCCTTTCTCTCTCTCTCCTAATCTCATTCTCTTAGTAACTTACACCATCCGATGAAACAACTTGAAACTCCTCTATAGAATTAAAAATAGAATCATAAATAAAGTGATTAGTTTTAAAAGTGTAAAATATCTAATAATCTATGCATGTCACTGTCATTGGACATTTAGACATGTACATGTACATCTAAATGTACTTCTATCTTTTATGTTACTTTCTACCCTCCCTCCCTCTCCTCCTCTCTTTTCCTTTTTCCTTTCGTTATGCTCTCTTTTTCGCCCCTTCTCTATCTCTCCCTCTCTCTCCCTCTTCCTCCCCCTGTCCCTCTCTCTCCCTCTCCCTCTCTCCCTCTCCCTCTCCCTCTCTCTCTCACCTTGTCCACAGTTGATATCATTGACTGTCAGATCTTGCAATGCAAGAGGAGGTTCCAATACAGACAGACCCCGTCCACTTTTCTTAGTGACCAGGAGTAAGTCGGAGAAAAGAAGTAGAAATGCTTTCTTCTTCTTTTTCTTCCAAAAAATTTGGATCTCGTCTTCGTGGAGTAATACACGCCCGGGCGGAGAAAGAAGATCAAAAGACTACAGAAATAAGCAACAGTAAAGTACTTTTGCAATAGTAATTGGAATAGAATTTGTCAAATTTGGATTTTTATGAATTTTAATAGTTGCTAAAAATTTTGACAAAAATATTCTGTATATGGTTTTTTCATAAAAAATGATTAGGGGAGAATTCTCTGTTTTTATTTTATTGTTTGATATGTATACATGTTCTTATATTGTGTAGAAAGTTTAAGCTGATTCCAATAAAAATTAAATTTTTTACAAATTTTTAAAGTTGCTCCAAAATTGGGTAAAAGTCCCTGGACTATATACACAGTCTCGAGTCAAATTGTGCCAAAATTAAAAAGGAGAGATTTCTCAATTTTAATAATTTTTCTGATGCATATACATGTTCTTATGCTGTGTAGGAAGTTCGAGCAGATTCCGATCAAAATTTAATTTTTTACAAATTTTTAAAGTTGCTCCAAAATCAAGTAAAAGTCCGGCATGTGGGAGGAGGCATGGAGCTAAATTCATTAATGATAATCAAGTAAACCAAATTAAAAATCCAAGGGGAAGCAAAGGAAACTACTAATGGCTGTAACTATATACAGCAACTATAAATAGCATAGATTTAAAATTTAAAACTATAAATTTTAACTATTATGATAATAGTCTATAGAGATGAATTCACACTGCAATACATTATAACTTGTAAACACAGCTTAACATAGTAAATTGGGAAAATTTCATTTATTAATTATTTTTACTTTTATTAATCAAATATCTAGTACATACATGTAAATGTACATTAATTGGCATACCATATAGTGGGAAATTTTAGAGGAAATTAAATTTGGCGAATTTGGTGTTTCAATAGCCATTTGCCAAAATAAAATCCTCCATTTTGAGCCATTATAATGCATGCTCAATGGCATGTGGCCACAAATTCACCAAATTGAAAATCACCAATTACCAAAATTTAGCAATTTGCCAAATTTAACTCCCTCTAAAATTTCCCGCTATACGGTATCACTTACTTCTATTTCATTCCCAAAACTTATTGTTGACTTGAGTTTCTCCATCGTCCTTATCTCACTCATCCAGTTCTGGCACAAGTCACTGCAACTTGGAGGGAGTATATTCAATAAAGCTACAATGAGAATAATATTAGCATACTAAATATGTACATGTATTATTATTATTATTATCATTATATAGTAATATTATAACAGTATAATTAATTTTCATTATCATTATTATGATTATATAGTTTTCCACAAGAAGGTATGGCATTAATTTTGAGCAAATTTAAAAATTCACAAAAAATTTAACTTTAATCTGAATCAGCTCAAACTTTCTACATAGCATCAAAACATGTATATGTACCAGGAAAAAAATGAAAATGGAAAAAATTTTACTCTTTCAATTTTAGCAAAATATTTTGGAGAAACTTTTAAAATTTGTAAAAAAATTAATCTTAATAAAAATCAGCTCAAACTTTCTATACAGCATTAGAACATGTATATGCATCAGGAAAAATTATTAAAATGAATATTTCTTTTCTTTTCAATTTTGGCAAAATTTGGTCTGAGACCATGTACTATAGTACAGGGACTTTTGTCCAATTTTGGAGCAACTTTTAAAATTTGTAAAAAAATTAATCTTGATAGGAATCAGCTCAAACTTTCTACACAGCATAAGAAGATGTATAATGCATCAGGAAAAATTATTAAAATGAATATTTCTCTTCTTTTCAATTTTGGCAAAATTTGGCCTGAGACCATGTACTATAGTACAGGGACTTTTACCCGATTTTGGAGCAACTTTAAAAATTCGTAAAAAAATAATTTTAATTGGAATCAACTCAAACTTTCTACACAATATAAAAACATGTAAATGCATCAGAAAAAATTATAAAAATGAGGAATTCTCTACTTTCCATTTTTGGCAAAATTTGGCCCGAGACAGTGTACTATAGTACAGGGACTTTTGCCCAATTTTGGAGCAACGATAAAAATTCATAAAAAATTAATTTTGATTGGAATCAGCTCAAACTTTCTACACAGCATAAAAACATGTAAATGCATCAGAAAAAATTATAAAAATAAATATTTCTCTCCTTTTCAATTTTGGCAGAATTTGGTCTGAGACCATGTACTATAGTACAGGATGTTCAGCTCAATTTTGATTATCTTGAAAAATTCAAAAAATTTCAAATTTGATCGAAATCAGCTCAAATTTTCTACATAATGCAATTACAATTACAAGTATACAAGTATGTATCAGAAAAATTATAAAAATATGGAGAATCCTCTACTTTTCATGTGGTGGGAAACCCTGATTATTAATATTAGTATAATAATGTACTGTGTATATCATAATAGTGCATTGATTTCTCTTACATGATATGATGTGGACTAAATACTGATGATCCTCAGAGTGTAATGGAGTCACATAGCTTATGTTGACCAGCAGTCTACTCATCTTTGGTAGATACTACACAATAAGAGAATAAAAAGGTTAAGAAACTTTCATAAATGCATATATACATGTACATGCATGTAAAAGTATTTATGAAAAATAAAATATAAAGCTACATGTACATGTACATGCATAATTGATTGGACTATTATTATTATTTATCATTATTATTATAAGGAGGAATTATTATTATTATTATTATTATTATATTATTATTATATTAAATACTTCAGTTCCAGCTTCTACGAATGAATAAATTGAAGGTAGAGAGTCTCCTATCACCGGATCCTATTTTTAAAAATATTTCATTATGTGAGTGGGTGTATCAATAAGAGACAGTCAGTACCTGAACGATTCTTTTGAATTCCGGTATTGTGAAAGCAACTGCTATTTCTTTTCTTGAGTTTTCAGAATTTCTTAAGTAGCCACTGAATATTTGCTTGAACAAATCCAACTGGAGAGAAAGAGGGGGGAGAGAGAGGGGGAGGGAGAGAGAAAGAGAGAGGGAGGGGGGGGAGGGGGAGAGAGAGAAGGAGAGAGAAAATATATATAAAAAAGGGAGAGAGAGTAGGAGATAACAAAAGAATGCAAAGAGGGAAAAAATGTACATTGTAATTACAATTAATGAAATTAGCATTGTTTTAGATGGTTTACTAGCTGTACCTTTCCACAATAAATATCAGCAAAATTCTCAACATAAAAAGGAACAGATGGCATGGCTCCAGACCACTGCACACACCTCGCTGAGATATTACTTAGAAAATACTTGGAAAGATCACACATCTACAGAATCAATGGAGAGGAAAAAGAAAGAGAGAGGATGAAAGGGAAAAGTGTAGAGTATGTAGATGTACATGTACATATAGTGGAGGAATGGAGAGAGAGAGGGGGGGGGGAGAGGGAAAAAACAACAAATGACAAATGTGAGGAACAAGTGGAAAAGGATTTTAAAATGAAGAGGAGTAATGAGTAAGAGAGAGAACAAAGAAGAAGAAAGACATGGCTCATGTACAACTTCCGAGGAATTACATGTAACTAGGGAAATTTCGGTGACTCAATACTTTTGCAAATAGCTAACAAAGCTATTTATTTTGTGGGATTAATTTTTGCAACTGCACTGTGGCTTAATTGTAAAAAAATTAAGGATTTATTTTTTGCTTAATTACTATAGCAGAAATTTTGGGCCACAAAGCCAAGCAAGAGCAGCTATACTTTTGACAGTAGAAATGAAATACATGTACATGTACCTTAAGCCTACTATTTTTAGCGTCTACTAAATTTAGCTATATTAGCGAGAGAGCTTTAAACCGCTAAATTAAATAGACGCCAAAATAATTATAATGGTTATTTTTTATAGTTAATTTGGTTAAAAACGCTAAAATTAGTAACGCTAAACATGACTTTTGTTGATTTCGCTAAAATTAGTAGACGCAAATAATAGTAGGCTTAAGGTAAAGTGAAGTTACACTCACCCGCTCTATGTTCATGAAGATTGTTCTGTGACTGTTCTCTGAGAGAACTCCAGAGGAGAGTGGAGTCAAGTAAAGCTTGATTCCTTTCATTAGTTCATCACAAAACTCTTTCTCACATTTGATCAAACTATTGATGGCTCTCTGCCGCTTCTGCTCAAGTTTACTTAAACACTAAAAGAGAAAGAAAAGACATGAATGTATATGAAAAAATATACATGCATGTACATGTAATATACATGCATGTACATGTACATGCATGTAAAAAATATACATGCATTGCATGTACATGTACATGTAAACAAAAAAAATATGTGCATGTACATGTGTTACAGAAGGAGATAACAGTTCATGTAAGAGAATCATTACGCATGCAATTTATAATAATATGCATGTTATTGATTATTTTTAATAATATTTTTAAAATAATAATAATAATTTATGATCAAATTATCGCACCAATAATTAAGGAATAATAATTATTTTAAAATTATCATTTTTTGTTATTTTTATAAGGGGAGAGAAGTACGAGAGTAGTTACATGTACATGTACATGTAGGAGAATGGCCGATACATGTAGGAAAGAAGTTACATGTACAACATACATGTAGAAGATATACATGTAGGAGACCGCGGCTACATGTAGGAGACCGCGGCTACATGTAGGAGAACGGCCGATAATAATGGAGGAGAACACTACATGTAGGAGACATAGTTACTTGTGGGAGAACGGCCGGTACATGTAGGAGAACTCTATATGTAGGAGACTGCAGTTACATGTAGGAGAGAAGTTGCATATACAATGTAGGAGAACTCTACATGTAGGAGCTACATGTAGGAGAATGGCCGATACATGTATATGTATGTAGGGAGGAAGAGGGGGAGCAAGTGGGAGAAGCAACAGGAGGAAAAGAGCTAGCGGAATTAGTGTGGGGGAATGACATAGACACACACAATAAGAGGAAATGCAAAATATGTGAACCAACACAACACAACACACACACAATGGACATTAGAAATAATAATTATTATTAAATTATCATAACTCAAGATCAACTCACATCCCACTCCACAGCTATGTCACTGTAAGACCCACTGCTACCCATTCCATTGGTAGCAGCTCCTCCAGGGCCTGTGGAGGCCGGGTAGATGTGCTGCTGGGCCGTGTCCATTGCTAGGCTCTTATCCCTAATATCACAACTGGAGTGATGGGACAATATGTCAGTCTCTGTGATATAAGCCGAATCGTTTGACGTCACGGATGTACTTGAGAACTTTGCGCTCCGAAGCCCGCTAGGCGGAGGAACGGAGCCTGGGATGAGTCTAGAAGAAGCGTAGGATTGCATTGCTAGGCCGTACAGTCCACCTTCTAACTCTTCCTCTGAGGGAGACCCCAGGGAGCTGTTATTAGAGAATTTACGCCCACCACCTCCGGCCCCTCCTGTCCCATTAGGGTCTCCTTTATAAAGTTTAATGGGCGAGAGCGAGCGAGTCTCAAAGCTAGGCTGAGAGAGAGAGTGACGAGAGTGTAGTAGCCCCCCGTTTTGGTCATCTTGCTGACTCAAACGTCTTGTAGACAAAACCTGAGCTGGAACCCTCTCTCCCTCTCTCCCTCCCTCCCCTCCCCCTCCTCCCCCTACCCCCCCAACTGAGGATTGAGAGGTTTCCTCGGGTACTTCAGGTAGTAACCAGTCCCGAGAAAGCGTTACTTTATCCCGCGAGGAGGCCCGGCCCCACTGCGGTGGGTGTGGATGAACTTGCTCCGAATCGTAATACATGGTTTCGATCGGCTGCGTTAGTCCTCCAGTTGATGACCGTCTCTTCTCTTGAAACCCAAGAGTCGGGACTAGTACTTTCTGCGATGAGAATATCGGCCTTGGGACATACATGAGTGAGCGGTGACCATTAGATCCATCATTAGAGGAGGTAGAAGGAGACTGGAGTGCTTCGGTGTAAGTGTGAGCGAGATAAGGCTGAGAGGAGGAGAGAGGGAGGCTGAAGTGAAGCTGTTGAGTGGGGGACATTGAGCATGTGGTACGCTGGAGCAATAGATGTATTGATTCACGCTTCTTCCTAAAAAAAGAGAAAGAGAGAGGAAACACAGTTGAAAGAAAAAAGAAAAAACAAAAAGGGTAGAGAAAGACACATTTTATGTCCATGTACATGTATATTAAAATTTTCAGAAAGCAGAAAAATAAGAGAAAACAACACAAAATTTACAACGAGGCATGATTTAGCTCTTCTTACTTTATCATGTTAGCTACCATGTCCCCATTGGATTTGGTCACATCAGTACCATCAATCTCCACTATCAGATCACCTACCTGGAGCTCAGACTCGTGAGCTGGCATACCTTTAACAATGAAAAGCAATTAAATACATTTAATGTACATGCACATGCTGTATAAGATGTACTCATACATGTAATAATTTATAATTACATACACCCGTACATGCTTGAACATGGTGAAGTACATGTACATGTAGCCAAGAGTGGATCCACTCTTGATGTAGCATAATTAATTTAATGAACATTTTGTAAGTTAGTAGTACAAAAATAATCATATATGTATTACTGATAAGTTGATGACACAGAAATAAGCATTTAGTGACCTGTACTATACTATACTCTACTCCTCCAATACTTTTTAACAAACTAACACAGTACAATACATGTCAGACTAAAACAAATAAAGTACTAGTTCAAGTTGATAGCACAAAAATAATCACAGCATTAAATAGCCTGTAGTATACTACACTCTAATTTATAATACACTGGTAACATAGCATAATACATGTCAGATAAAAACAGAAATAAGTACATTAAGTACATGTACAATGATACATGTAGCATACTACACTCTACTCCATTGCAATGTTGTAGTTGTACATTACTGACTCATTGTAGCTCAATCATATTTACTATAATTTCTGTTCTAGTTTACATACTGTGTCCATTATAATAGCATTCATAGTATATCCTGCATCTTTAATAAGCTTTTAATTGAGTCTGATTTAATTGTTAGAGGAGAGATGCAATGATAATTTCCTGTACTGAGAACTGTCACTGTTTAAACATTAACTATAATAATTCATGCATGTAATATGTGATGTATGCCAATTTTTTAATTTACTCCATCTCAAAATTACGTGGCTTTCCTGCACATGTAGGATGTACTACATGTACATGTACATGTATCAGGTAAAATTATACATTTCCCTACCATTACATCATAACAATTTGTTATTTCTCAGGAAGAATTAGTTTTCTACCTACAGTATGTCACAGATCTATAGCTTTGAACTAAAAATACTATCTTGAAATATCAGGTTTCAATTCTACTAATCTCTCCATAGATACTATTACTAGTTTTGTACATGTACATGTACGAACAATAAGAGTATCATATATACATGTATATGTACATGTACATGTACATATATATGTACATGTATGTACCTGTACATGTAGCAATTGTTACCTTGTGTTACTTCATTGATGTACACAGGTGTGCTTGGAGTCACTTTGAAACCATAACCTTTAGGACCTCGTATCAACATGACCTGATGATAATAATAATTATTATTGTCAGTACACATACATGTATGTAATTAAAAAAATAATAGTAATAATAATAAATACTTGAAGGATCACACACAGTGAATGGTTGTGATAATTACTGGTAAAAATGTTTTGATTTCAGAGTAGTAATAATCACATGTACAAGTACATGTACATGTACATGAAAGTGTATTTGTAAAAATTGAAAAGAATCATTTATGATGATAAGTACATGTGCAATGTATATTACATCTAGTATTTGAATTTCATAAGTCCTACTATCCTGGAATTGGCTCAAACTCTTTTATTAGTAACGTATAGTGGGAAATTTTGGAGGGACCAAATTTGGCAAGTTGCTGAATTTTTGTGATTGGTGAATTTTAATTTGGTGAATTTGGGGCCAGGTGCCATTGAGCATGCATATAATGGCTTTAAAATAGCAGACTCTATTTGGCAAATGGCTATCAAAATGCCAAATTCACCAAATTTAATTCCTTCCAAAATTTCTTTCTATATGGTAGTTTATTTATTGATATTTCTTACAGCATAGCATTTGGTGACTGAAGGAGGAGCTGATACTGTACTGGAGAGACTGGACTGAGAGCCCATTGAGACTAGACTATGAGGAACTGGAACATTCTCAGCAAAACCTCTACCTTCATCCAACAACTGATACCAACCATTGACTTGCTAAGGGGAGGAGAGAGAGAGAAGGAGAAGTGAGAAAATTAAAAAAAGAGAGGGGGGGAGAGAGAGAGAGGGAGGGAGAGGGAGAGGGAGAGAGAGAGGGAGAGGGAGAGGGAGAGAGAGAGGGAGAGGGAGAGAGAGAGGGAGAAAGAAAGAGAAAGAGAGAGAGAGAGAGGGGGGAGATGTAGAGGTAGAGGAGGGTGAGAAAAATGAAGAGCAACATTAATGGAATATCTCTCATTAGTCTAACTTTATTTGGGCCAATTAAGTCACCGACTAAGAAAGACATACATCCAATCATTTCATTCCTACAACAAAGACAAGAATAGAACATTGTGTGAAATATGCCAGTCATTATAATTAAATAAATAATACTAGTAAGTATTACATAATAATACATAATAATGACACTACACATACAATATACAGTGTACACATAATATAAATGTGTCTGAGTGAGAAAATACATGTATATCATATATTACAATACATGTACATGTATATGTACATGTACATATACATGTATATGGATGTATATGTACATGTGCTGTGAATGCATACATGTACATGCACAAAAATTGCATTATGTAATTTATAACGAGCGTGTGGGTGTGTTTGCATTAAATTTGTGTGGGGGTGTACGAATTAAGAATACAAATAATGTAAAACAATATCTGACAACATTTTGATTATACTAGTTCATGTAACAAAGTATGCACGTATATTGTACATGTACATGTACCTTGATGTCCTGTCTCTGTTCCATACTGATATGTGGAGCCTCTTATCAAGATCATCATGATCCTTTAATATGCTATAATGAGCATGCATGGATTGCAATGTGTAGGGATAAGGATTTGTGTGTGTGTGTGTGTGTGTGCGTGTGTGTGTGTGTGTGCGTGTGTGTGCGTGTGTGTGTGTGTGTGTGTGTGTGTGTGTGCTTATGATATTAATATGGTAACATTAAACTCACGCACACACTTCTTGTGGGAAAGTGGTCAATATTCGAGTTTCATTGTTTTCTTCTCAAATAAGGAAAAAGAGAAACGATTAATGCCGCTAAAGGATAAGTATTTGTATCAAATTCAATAATACAGTATCACAGCTGCTAAACATGTGTACATGTATGTTTGCTGCGTGCATGTGTGCTTGGCGCTTGTAAGTTGGTATGGGTCCTATAATTATAGATGAGTTGGTATATTTACGCATGTCTCTATTGATAGAGCCAGTCTACTGTGACCGTCTTATTATAAAATGAGTTATTTTTCATTCGAATGGAATGAAAAACTAAGCCACACCGTGACTTGAGTTTACAACTTTTCCCTACACTCACTTCCACTATGGAGATAAAGGGAAATTGAATATTGACAAGATTGATATTATGAAAGTG